AAGTGAAGGGCTAGAGACAGCAGCTCTGCTCCAGAAGACTGCCAGCAGGAGCAGTTCCACGTCCTGGCCCTGGGCACACTGCAGTAGGTGCTTCTTTCATGCGGGACATTCGGTCCCTTCCAATGAGGAAACACTGGCACATTGTTAGTCAGTCTTCATAGGGAGAAACACTGGTATGATATTGCTCCCAAACTGTGCTCTGCTGACATAGAACCTTGGTTGACCATACCTTGAATTCTCTGTTGTTCATCACCTTATGTTGTCTGCTACTAAGAGCACACTGCAAGGTTTCCACTTGAGACGTAGAAAAGATCATTAATGAAACAATATGATGGTCTCCGAGCTAGTTTACAATAGCTGGCTTAGTGCATCTCAGGCTGTAGTCATCAACCACATGAGGTCTCTTAGTACCTTTGCTTAGTGTAGGCTTCGGTGTGAGAGGGGAAAGGCAGCAGCTCAGCTAATGCAGAATAAGCCATGAAATCTTGAGTGTCTGGCTGAGTCCTAAGTCTAGGTTGGCTGTGAACTTTGCAGAGAGAATTGAACTTGCATGCATATGCAATGTCAAGACAACGTAACCAAGCAGTGTAAAATCCAATGGAACCATAGAATGGAATCATAGAATGGTTTGGGTGGGAAAAGACCTTAAAGCTCATCCAGTTCCAACCCCCTGACATGGGCAGGGACACCTTCCACTAGAGCAGGTTGCTCCAAGCCCCATCCAACCTGGAGCTGAACACTGCCAGGGATGGGGCAGCCACAGCTTCCCTGGGCACCCTGTGCCAGCGCCTCAGCACCCTCACAGGGAAGAATTTCTTCCTAATGTCTAGTCTCATTCTCCCCTCTGGTAGCTTTAAAGCCATTCCCCCTTGTCCTGTCACTATAGGCCCTTGTAAAAAGTCCTTCTCCAGATTTCTTGCTGGCCTCTTTAAGTACTGGAAGACTATTATAAGGTCTCCCCAGAGCCTTCTCTTCTCCAGGCTGAACAAACCCAGCTCTCTTAGCCTGTCAATAGCTTTGCTCCCTGTGGGGTTGTTTAAAATTTTAGTTGGTTTGGGTTTGTTTGTGGGGCTGCTACCTCTCAGTTTTCCAGTGAGACACCAAAAGAATTCCCAGATCAGCTCAGGGTTTCAGCTTTTCATTGGCCTTTGAGGTTTAAGTATTTGCAAAACTTCCCAGAGTTCAACTGCCCCGTAGCCTGTGCTAAAAACCCAGGAGAAAGGTTTTCAGGGTTGATGTAAAGAATCTGTGGGGACAAAATCATATTCAAGTACTACAGGAACTGTGAAAAACAACTGCAATCCTGGTTGGTGAAGGTAGAAATCTGTTTGGATCTGTCACAGGACCAATGTTGTGGACTCACACCCCTTACTAATTCACAAGCGAAAGGTGCGATGGTTTAATTGCATCTGATGGAGCTGGAGGACAGATTGGACTTTAGTTGTTCAAAGCATTTTTGTGCACTTGCAGTCTCAAGCCTCAGCTGTAACTTCCACTGTCCATTGAGCAGTAGCGGTGATTTATCAATATAGGTGCTGATTCGCTGTAAAGAAAGGCTCCTAATATAACAGAGAAAGTTGGTGACCCAGACTAACAGGGTAAGTGCGACCCCATCCCATTCCTTGCACTATGCATGGTCTGTGCAGGCTCAGAGGAAGTGCTGAACGCTTTTTCATTTTTTACCAAAAATTCTCTCTAGTGCAGGAAATAGAGCACTATGTCCCCGAGTACCTTTTGGAATGTGGATTATGTCTCCCTTGGCCCACGTTAATAAAAACACCAGCATTTTGGGGGGTGGGGAAATGAAAATTGCAGATCTTTTCAGTGTGCCTTTCCCAGCTGGTCTTTCTTCCCTTGCTGACCATAGTGCAAGGATGTGGTGCAGGTATTAAAAAAGAACGTTTGAGCATGCAAAAAGATGACACTTGCTTTATCCCAGAATTTAGTTCCCTTTTCTTAATCACTTACGAGGAAAACATTAACTATATCTATTTATATTTGATGTGTAGTACCATGGCCAGTGAAATCAAAAACGCAGCAGAATTGCTTGCTACCTGTAAGTCTGGGTCGTGCAAATGAAAGCTGCAGGTGTTTAGTACTTCCAAATGTCAGACTTTTCAAGTAACCATTGATAGCTTTACATCCTTCTTGTGCCTTCATGTACATGTGTGTGTACAAATGTGTTTGCCTATATACGATGTATATATGCATCTACAGTCTACCCAGAACTTTTACTCAGCATATGCTTGTGCGTAGTACCTGATGTAATGAGATAGTGGTGTTCTATCCAACTGAGTGATTACATCTTGGTATTTTTCCCCCCCTTTTTCTTTTTTCCTTTTTTTTTGTGTCTTTTTATTTTTAGCCTTGTGTCTTTTTATATTTAGCTCCTTGATGTAAGTGAGGTTACAAGGGCCAGAGTGAGAATGTTAGCAGCTTTATAGTTCTCAGCCAACAAAACATAAACTGAAAGCTATTACTTAATTATGTTTCTTAAGTTGTTTGACATATCGAGGTGAAGGGATGGCTTTAGTTTGTTTTCTTGTTTCTGGCAGGTGACAACAGTTCTTTAGTTGACGTATTTTGACGTTGCAGCTAGGCCACTTAATGTACAGCAGGCACTGGAGGAGGATGGCACTGGCTTGGCAGTAGAGCTGCTCCAGCACCCCAGCAGCCTGTTTGCACCCCATGACGTTGGCTTCTCTCAAACAGCAAACAGGGCCTGGGAACTCCCCTGTGAACGGGGAGATTACTAATCCTCTTCTTACTGCAAGTGAACCTGACTCATTCCAGATGTACACAGATTTAATGATTCAGAAAGCTGGCTCTCTTAAAATGAGACTTGCAGCACAATCTCATACAGCCTTTTAGAGGAAGAACTGAACCAGCCTAAAATCAGTGAGGTTTTTCAGTTTCTTAGTGTATGAATTTTGCATAGGAGCAACTGCAGTGTGGTCTTAGAAAGCAGGTTTTCTTTCTCTGCTAAGGAAAATGTTGTTAGAACCATCATTTTGGTATGATGTACTTTTAACAGAGGAGTGGTAGCTTTAGAAAAGGGTAACAACGCAGTGGGGCTTATTTTGCCTTTTTTTTTTGGTGGGTTTAGTTGTAAATAGGATTTAATTTTAAGTATTTTTTATTATTCAGTAAGAAGAGTATTCTTGATTGTCTTGACTTGAGGTTAGATCTCTAAGTGCTGCTATTACCAATTCAGGGAGGATCCTGTAGCATACATTGCATTTAGTGTCAAATAAAAGATAAATGAGATAAAGCATAAGACAAATACCTTGTAGTGCTCCTTTGCTTACTGAAGTGGTGGTTCCAGATTTTGCTAATGAGTTTGATAGGTGCTGAGTAAGTTCTGAAGTGATTGCAAGAAGTGAGATTATAAAGTACATGAGAAATAATTTGCAGTAATAAATTACTGGTTTATCTCATTGCTTTCAAATATGCACTTTTGATAATTAGGAAATCTCAGCAGATTGTTCAGCATCTTCATAATTTGTCTGCTTTTTCTGCTGTAAATGTTGAAGTTTAAAAGCTTCCAAGTGTTCTCCTATGGTTGTGCCATTAATTTGGTATATAAGAAGCAGTAACTCAAACCGTTTGCACCTCTCAAACTAGTTTTGCAGTTGATCCTGCGCTGCATATGCTTTTGTAAATATTTATTCTCACTGATAGTTGACTCTGAGAATAAACTATAATGTTGGGAAAACATTTTTAGAGTTGCTGATATGCAGAAGAGCAGTGTGTGGCAGCATATACATCCTTGGCACAGCCATTCTTTCATGGAAATTGGGTGAATGGAAAGTGGTTTGGCCAGCTGCTGATTGCTGTGTGTCACTGTGTGCTGCTGCATGCATGTGTATTGTGTAACGGCACTGGCAGGGCCATGTGAGAGGGTACCTTTCCTTAGAGATGGTTCCTTTGTACTTTTGGGCTGGCTGTGTCCTATAGGAAATAATTGAGAGCCACCTCTCTGCTGTGTGGCTGAAGGTCTCCGCTCTTTTCTGACCAGCTACTTGCTGTATTCTCTGTGACACTATCTCTTTCTCTGTGATGTAGGATGGTCTGAGACTCCAGTAGCCAATTTGATATTTTGGCTATTTTTTCTTATATTTACATTTCTACTGGTATATTCCATATTATCTTTTACTATACTTGTAGTTCCTAGGTCTGCAGATGTGTGCATTGATACTGTAATTTATTATTTATTCCTACTTGTTAGCTCATCTTCTGGACAGCCTAGTATGATTAAATATTGAATAATACGTATATGCATAGATGCATATTTATATTTGCCTCTGTGTGCCTATCTGTCTCTGCTTGTAATCTGTGATGCCATATTACAATAGTGTGTTGATTCATGATATATATCTGTTATTTTAATTCAGCTATTGCATAGCTATTCCACTCACAGATGATTCCATTGGGTTAGGTCCAGCTTAAACACCTGAAGAGAGATTAGTGGACATTTGTTGCAATTTCTGTACATTTTTTTTCACTTACACCTGTTTCTGTATTTTATTTTGCTCTCTTTACCTTTTTTTCTATCCATAGCATAACTCTAAGAAGTTACTAGAATGTTAGAATAAGTTTGAATTATTGAGGGACAAACTGAAACAGCTTGTGTGTTCGAATGTGGGCATATTATCTTGAACTTGTTACATTTCCCCTGTTCAATTACTTTACAGTCTTCAGCTATTTTATTCTCACTAAAACCATATTAACAATAAGTCATGTGAAACAGTTCCACATGAGGATCATGGGGTTTCCTTACAGTCACAAAAGACAGTGTCAGATCCATGACTCGGGAGCTGCTCATTCCTAGTACACACACCCACACCTGCACTATGCATTGGCCAGAGAGCACATTCCTGAATTACTGACTACCAAGCTTTTAAGCGGTTGAGTTGTGACAATTCCATAGCAGGAAGAAAGATGGACCAGAGTGTGGAAATTGCCTAGAGTTAAATCACTGTAACTGTTTCTGCCTACAGTGTTGATGACAGAACTGCCTACCTGGCCCTGGGAGCGGTGAGGAACATCTCACTTAACATTTCCATCTCTAATGTTGGGGATGATGCCTACGACACCAATGTTTTCTTCAATTTTTCTGGAGAGCTCTTCTTCATCAAAATGTGGCAAAAGGTAAGAAAGGCCAATGTTGCTGAGTAGGTCTCTTAACAATTTAGTTGCAAGATGTAGGGACACGGGGCAGCCTGGTCCACACTGTTGAGATGTGTAAGTTATTTTGGTTATGCTGGGCTTGAGTTTCTTCCAAGCTCTACTGAGTTTTAATTTTGTGGGTTTGATCTATGTAATTACATGCTCTGCGTTTGTGTAGAAGTCACAGCACTGTTATTTGGGGTACGTTAATGAAAAAGAAAGACTGTTTGGTTGAGGTATTAAGGTATTAAGAGACCGGTTTGGAAACTGGTAGGGTACCAAGTGGTGCTGATATACACAATGTCTCTAGTTTGAGTAGTGCCACTCTGCACTCAGCAATCCTAGTGATCTGATCTCAGCTCTTAGGTTTTCTCTTCATTGAAATTAAGAACAAGGCTGTTCTTTTCTCACATCCTGGTGCAAGTTGGGGTTGTAGCCAGGGCACACCGCTAGATCCAGGAGCTCAGAAGTGCTTTTAATTTCATCTGTGTGGAGTCAGGTGAATATTTTGAGTCAGTCTCTTTGCATTTAAATTGGAATACACAGATATTTTCATAGGTATGGGTTCATTTAGAGATAAAGTTGTTGAAATGTGAACACTGAATTGAGGGTTTTGCAAACTGATGGCCTCAGAAGCTGTCTGAACTTGAGTAATGTGAAAAGGTTTGTGCAAAATGGGAGCTGTACAAGCATAACAACATTCTGTTTGCTCCTGCTTTTCACAATCATTTCTCTTTCTGCTGGAGCTTTGCTTTGCAAGCTGTAAGAGCAATATTAAAAACAGTAGTACAACAGTTGCAAAGTATGGGAATAACTTGGTCCATTGCACCAATGACACTTTGCTATTATTTGTCATGTTATATGGTAGACATATGTTATATGGTAGATTTTGGTTGTTATAGACCTCTTCAATGAACTCAATACATAAAAAAAACAAAATATGGTAATTTCTTATACATGCTCTTTCAGTGTTCAGTTTTGGCTATTATGTTTAATGCATTTGTAAGCTTCAGAAAGCTGTCTTTGTAATACAAACTTAATTTTCAGACATTATGTGCTGCATGCCGTTTACCAGGAGGAAAAAAGCAGGGGATAAAACATAAATGTCTTATGCCAATACACAACTTCTCTTTAATGGAAGTTTTATGTGAAGACTTCCAGGGTCTGGCCCAGCTCCCATTGAAGTCAGTGAGAAGGTTTCCATTCCTTTGCACTGGGAAAGAAACAAAGCTTGATGCATGTTCTTTTAAAAGGTTGTTGTGGCCTTTTCTTTTTTCCTTCTATGCTTACATGTTGAATATTTTGCACACATGGATTAACTGGTACACCAATTGCCTTCATTGTTCTTCTTGGCCAACACTGCGAGGGAACAGGCTGAAGATGATGTGATGTTTCCCTTGGTATTTTACCTTGAGCCTGGATCTAATGCACACTTGAAACATCTGTGCTGAATGCTGCCTAGAAGGAGTAGTTTCTGGAAGCAAATGACATTGTTGCAGGGTTATCTCACTACTCAGTCTGTCTTCTGCTAATAGAAACTAGCATTACTTTAAAGAAAAACACAGCACACAGCAAGGAAGCAGGTAGGCTTTCTTCTTTCTCAGGTCTTGCAAACAGGATCAGGGCATATAGTATATATAGGATATAATCTGCTATTAATCCTGTTGTCCCACTGTTCTTGTGATTGATTTGATAGGGTTTGGAGGGGGGGATGATAATTATTTTAGAAGCAGTTTTGAAAACCCAAGTCACAAGGTTGTGTTGGGTAATTTTGCTTCCTCTCAGTCTGCTTTTGCTTCAGGACAAACTAATATATTCTTGGCCTCACCATTTGACCAGCTGGGAAACTGGATTAGGACCTCATAGCCTCAATTACAGTGTTATGTTTTCCTTAGGTTCTCTGAAAAATCATTTTTATTTATATTTTTGTACAATATCACAACCTCTTCCCTTCCCCTGACATCTGTGCATAATAGAATCATGGAATCATAGAATAGTTAGGGTTGGAAAGGACCTTAAGATCATCAAGTTCCAACCCCCCTGCCATGAGCAGGGACACTTCACACTAAACCATGTCACCCAAGGGTCTGTCCAACCTGGCCTTGAACACTGCCAGGGATGGAGCATTCATAACTTCCCTGGGCAGCCCATTCCAGTGCCTCACCACCCTCACAGTAAAGAGCTTTCTTCTTATAGCCAATCTAAACTTCCCCTGTTTAAGTAAGTTTTAACCCGTTACCTCTTGTCCTATCACTAGAGTCCCTCCCCAGCATCCTTATAATATATACATATTATAAAGTGTATGTACTTTATATACATATATACACTTTATATATACTTTATATACATATATAAATGTATATAAACTGTATGTACTTTATATACATTTATATACATACTGTGTATGTACTTTAAATAGATTTTGTTCCTGATTGAACACTGCCCAGGCAAAAATCCATAACGTAAAGCCAGAATAAAAATGATGACTCTTAAGATTTCTCTTAGTGGAGCAATTCTGGAATCAAAAGAGCTTCTTGTGGGAAACTTTCTGCAGCAACTGCTTTTTAACAAATAACACTAAAGTGGAAGGTAACGGTCACTTCCATGTGGTTGCTTGATCCTGTCTCTGCAAGGTAACTCTGAGAACCATCATCACAAGGTGGGCTTCCGTGACCTGTCTCTGGAGTTCTTTCAGGATGCTGTGAGTCCCCCATGTGTTTTTGCTGTGCCCCCACTGGGGACATATCTAGTGGATTCAGTGTGGGTTTATTTCTTTCTGCAGCTTGTTTGCAGTGAGACCTGGCAGTGCAGAGGTTTAATGCTGGGTTTTTTCAAAGGAGTGATTGAGCCAAAATGCCCCATCTTCTGTTTGAAAAGAAATGGAGTGGTCTAGTTCAGGGATGATGATGAAGGGTCATCATTCTCTTGGAGGGTCTGTGTGGAGCTAGCTCCACTTTCCTTCCTGTAGACTGAGGTTTCATGGGACACTAGCTAGAGAACAATCAAACATTAGAACAATCAACCAGGGAAGTGGGGAGGTCCCTTTGAAACTGCCAGGTATCTATGATTCTGTGATACCTGGCAAGGCTTTGCTTCATCGTTATGAGGTGAAAAAGCATTTGCCAACTGATCTTTTGGAGACTCCACCTATTCCACTGTCTGATTTTCCTATTGTGCTGCAGCCAGTCCTGCCGGTCTCCATGGAGGAAGCCCAGCGTTTTCTTTCCATAGCTCCTGACAGACAGTCCTTCTCTTGAGAGGCACAGTATGGGGCACAGGATGACTTTTCATTCCTGCCTGTACTCCCTGCAGCACTTTTCAACTCTCTCATCACTACTGCCCTTTGAAGGGGCTGCCTTCACTGAGGTGTCACTGTCCTCCTACACTTCAAAGCATCCCTTCACCCTTTCTAAAGAGAGGAGACTGTTCTGGGAAAATGGGCATGTAACTATAAAATACTGAATTTGTTAACTGGTGAAACTCCTGAAGATGTGGGTTACAGCTGCGGCTGTCATCTCCAGGAGCTGAGTGTACATATTCTTTTCCTGTATGTTTACATTTAGTGCCTTACAATTATGCCAGTTATTGTACCTCTTATTGGGCATGATAATACTTATTTTTCAACTCCTAAATTTGGTGGGGTTAAACTGTTTGGGATTTTAAGAAGCCAATCTTAACTCCTATTACCTATTAAAGTAAAAAAAAATCATCAAAAAGGACAAAGTCCTTTCAGAGCTGGGCTGAGTCTGCGTGTGGTTTTAAGACAGTGGTGAAGATCAGATATTGATACAACTCCTGTGCAGGTTTCAAGCTCTCACTCTGGAAGTATTATTTTACAGATGCATGGAAGTACTGCAGTGAATTTCCAAATGTGCCCACTCAGAAAAATGCTCCTTTTGAAATATAGGAAGATTAAATCATGGCAGGGGGTTGGAACTAGATGGTCTTTAAGGTCCTTTCCATCCCAAACCATTCCAAGATTCTATGTTCTCTTTAAAAAAGAAATAAAGAGGGAGGGGGAAAGACCTCAACTGTCCAGTTGGATTTTTTTTTTATTTTGTTGACAAAGAAATTTTGGTCCCTTCTTTGCTGTAGAGTAGGTTTTTAAATGATTTCTTTTTCCTAATCTTAAAGTCTATTATCCCATAATATTAATATAGCTTCAGGAAAGCATCCTATTTCAGTGCCTGAAAAATACGCTTAACAGAGGTGCTACCACTTTCCTATACAAAGAATGCAGAGTGTTGCTGTGTGATAAGTCTGGAAAAAGAATACAACACTACTGCTACTAATTTCTACACCATTTCACACCTCTTGGAACTGCCTCTTGGCTTGTGATGTTTTGCTGAAAATGCTTGTCAGCCCCTGGCACTTAGCTAACTGTTTATTAAAAGCTGCTCAGTGCAGAGGGGTATTTTCAATACAGTTGCAGAAAAAGCACTGTAAGCTTGCTGGCAGTGGCACTTAATGTGATATAGGGCAGAGCTATATTGTTGTTAAATCAGCTCAGCTATGGCATGAGATTTTACAGTAATAGTCTAAAAATAGAATATATAATATAGTAAAGCATACAGCAATAACCCAATATATATAGCATTAATCTCTCACTCCTCTTCAAGCACTGGCAGAAATCTATCAGCTAACCCCATTTCAGCACTAGTTATGGAGAGAGTCGGTCAGGAAATCCCACTGCTAACCATCATTTCCAGCCACAGATTGTTCCTAAATTTCAGACAGGCTCCCAGCATCCAAAGCCAGCTGTGTGTAACATTCCTGCTCTCACAGCAGCTTTTGCAAGCAACAGCTGAGTGAAGTTAGTGGGGCCAGGCCGGGGCAGGATGAACAGTGAGGTTATGGTTTCCTCAGGCACAGTATTTTCCCACCTTTGGTGTTGGGTGTGAATATTGCCCATAACCAAAGCGATGCTTTTACTAGCTCAGGGGTTTTTCTTCTGCAGTCTAATGCAGCGCTCTCTCTTTCTG